TCTCATGATGCTGGACAAGGTCAAAGAGCTTAAACTCCTAGCCAGCCACCAATCATGAGGTGATACACTTATAGCCATTCTGTACCCACACAGCCGTTGTTACTCACTTTCAGTACAGTACTCAATAAATTACATGAGATATTCAACACTTTGTTATAAAATAGACTTTGTGTTAGATGATTTTGCCCAATTGTAAGCTAATGTAAGTGTTCTGACGATGTTTAAGCTAGGCTAGGCTAAGCCATGATGTTCAGTAGGTTAGATGTATTAAATGCATTTTAAACTTAGGATATTTTCAACTTAAGATGAGTTTATCAGGATGTAACCCCAATGAACTCAAGGAAGATCTGTAAATATATTGAGAGTTTTGCTCATCTTTAAAATTCATCTCTAGTTTCATAACGGACAGAGCGAGGACCCAGTTTATGTGACTGCCTCTGTGGACCCTTTACAGACTCCTCCAAATGCCTGTGCCCTGAGAAGGCTGGCTACCCTGGCTTTCTCAAATCCTCAGCTCTCGCTTATCAGCTCAGAGAAACCATCAGCCTCTTTGGGTGAGCCTTCCCTGTGCTGCGCTTGGAAACTTTCTCTAGTCAATTAGCTGAGGAAGTCATGGGCTCACCTTGGTCATTTTCCTTTCCTCAGGAACCACTGTCATGCACTGTCTATTGTCCAACATCTCGACATTGTTTCATATGTTTTTCTGGTATTTTAGTTGTAAATGCAGTCCTTATTACTACGTTATGACCAGTACTGGACGTCCTATGTGACAAATTTTGATATGTCATGTTTTTAATTTTTATTTGATTCAAAATATTTTCTCATTTATCTTGTGATTTCTTCTTTGACACATAGGTTATTTGAAAATGTATGGATAAGGGGCACAGAGAGGAGTGCTGAAATCTGATGACAATTATGGACTTGTCTATTTCTCCTTTCAGTTACATAAGTTTTTGCCTTATATATGTTTATATCTCCTGCTTCACTTGCTGCTCTAAAGTTTATGCAATATACATCTGTAACTTACTATCTAATTTTAAATTTATATCTCTCTATATAGTAAGAATCTTACGTTAATGAATTAATTAATAAAATTAATTAACATGCTAAGGAATGAATTAACAAAATTTAATTGATCTTATGATATTTGCTTTCTAGTCAATGCTGAAAAAAATGCATTCCTATAAAGAAGGATCCTTGTTTTGGGGGCCTCTGCGGTACAGGAAAACAAATCCCATGAAAAGGGATGACCCTGATGTTGGCTCATTCCTCTGGATGCTCTCATCTCCCCATGGGCATCACAGAACTTGGATGCTGCCACATGCTTCTCGGAACAATTCCTCCACCTCTTTCTCACAAGTGTCACTGCTGCACAGGCTTAAAACCATGTTTATGAGGTGAGTGGATACAAATAGAATTAAATTATTTATTGTGAGGCACAGCCATATGGCTTGTGTTTAAAGAAACTCAGCTTCTTGCCTTTTGAAAAGGGAGCTCTAAGAAGAGCTTATTCTCTTCTCTCAGAGGGACTTCCCTCCCCAGGAGGATAAGGAAAGGATGAAGGCTCTGCAACGTGGACACACGGAAAAGGGAAGCCCACTCTGTCAGGAAGAGGTCCTTTGCCTCACGTCAGTGCCAGCTCTACCCCATGCCACCCCTGTTCCTCCCACATAATTCCTTACTTTTCTCCACTTTCCTTCTCTGTTCTTCTCCTCTTCCCAGCCAGCCTGCCATGTGGGAGAGGATATTGGATATCCTTCACCAAGACTCTGACTACACAGAGCAAAGCCAAACCCTGAGCCCAAAAACGTTAGGACAAAAGAAACTAACACAGTTTAATACATAATTTAACCTTCTCCAACAATGTATTTCATTCATCCAAATCCCAAGCTGTGGTTGGTGGGAAGAAATGAGGCACAATACAAATAACATAGAATCTTTTAAGATCGCAGCTCAGTGGACTTATAGAGAAAATGAGCAAATGTCTTATCTAGAAATGAAATCCACTCAATGGCTATTGAATCCTCCAAGTACCCACATTACCATCTGGCACCATGCCTCTTTCTTTTTTCATGGGATAATGGAGATGCCATAAAACAATCAGCAGCCTCCTCTAGAAGGTTTTGCTTTACATTTATTGTTACCCTGCTTATTTGCCATGCCTGGACCTCAGCCCACAACCTATTAGAGAATCAGAAGCCCAGGCAAGAAAGAAAATGACTCTTGATGAGTTCTTTCCTTCACGTGCCAAGAGCTTTCGCAATTGCTTCTTGGTGAGATTGCCATGAGGTTACCACAAACAGTCAAGGCAGCTATTGCAAAACTACAGGGTGGTAAAATCATAGGTTTATTTATTCATTCCTGAAAGTGTTTGAACCACCTAAATCAGTATTTAATTGCAAACTTCTTGTTACGGGTCTTTTCTCATTCAGGATGCAGCAGAGCCAGCATTGCTCCTTGTGACGGTAAGTGTTCGGGATAAGGGGAATTTGTGACTTGAAACCTTTTCCATACTGAACACAATGTCATCTCTGCCACACCGAGTTCTCTACCACTCCTTCATTTTATCAAATAGGCCCATGATAAGGGCATCAGCCTGATTCTCCCCACAGAGCGATGGAAACAGATTCCACGCAGCAGGCATGATAATCGGTGGCCATCTGAATTGTGGCTCAGCGCTTAAACTCTGGCTATTTTTCTCCTACATGAGTTTTTCAAAGATCTAAATGGCAGCCCCTAAAGGGTAAGAATCATGACCAATTCAACAGTATCTTCCTACTCCTTACTGTTTTTCATATTATAAACACTCAATAAATGATTGTTGAGTGAATGAGTGTGTTCAGGCCTTAGATTCACACTCATCTGTGTAGGCTCAGCTGGATCTGTCTTATAAAAGCCTGTTGTGCCTTAGAAAGAAAAAAGACTAAAGAACAAGATAAGGTGGCTGCTCTGACCAGCCATGTGACCTTGGGAGGCATTTTAACACTGTGGGTCTCAGTGTCTCCATCTGTAATATGAAGGAGTGGGACTAGCTGATGTCTTAGATGTGCTTCGGCTTTTAAATTCAGAAAACAAAACACTACAACATCTTCCAGAAGATCAGGGGGAAGACATTCCCTCTGTAAAAGTTTCAGCAAGAGCAAGAGTATCTCGTTAGCTAAGCCACTGTCACATTTTAGCCCCAAATCTAAAAAACCACTCCAAGGAGACCTGAATTAATCTTTTTTTTTTTTTTTTTTTTTTTGCATTCTAGGTTTAGGGGAAAAGGGAAATATGTATAGGGATGAGCAGGCCTTCAGACCTTTGTTCTATTCAATCTGCATACACATTCTAACCCTACACAGAGAAAACAGATTGAAAACAACGGCCCCAGAGCACTGAGAATAACTCAGCTATCAAGGGAAGATTTGAGATTACACAAACTTTATTCTACACTATATTTAAATTAAGAATCATGTCAACTTGAAATGACAACAGAGTTTTTTTAATTTCCAAATATGTAAGTCACCTTATTAAATCAGAGTTGGCCGAAGTAAAAGTCTAGAGAGCACCCTCTAGTGGCAAAGAGTGCAATTGCTGAGTAGCAGTTTTGTCCTGAAATTGCACAAACTGGGCAAATGATAGCTGCCATTTATTGAGCACTTATTCCATTTCAAGGACTGGCCCAGATGTTTTATATGGTAATAAGATAAATGATTTCATAAGATCAATTTTCAATGCCATAGAACTGGAAGCCTTTTATTTCACAGAGCCCAGGCTATACCTTAAGATTTATTTCACTGCGTTTCCATGCTGTCTTCCTGGACCCTGGGGTGGCGTCCAGCCTCAGCACATTCTCCTGCACCTTTATGGCACCTGCCTGGAGTTCTGAGCTGTGGTGGAGATGCTCTATAAGTCATATTTCTCTTTTATTTTCAGCTCAGAGCCCCTCATTTCAAGTTGGCAAAATGAAGACAGAAGAGAAAAAAGTAAGCAACACTGAAAAGAAACAGGAAAAAAGGGGGAAAGATACAGCCCAACACCTTATAACAATTTTCATGAGTCCAAGGATCTTTTAATTCAAACAAAATTACTTAATATCCATGATTCTAGACGCATTTAATAAACAGCAAAATACTTATTTATATGATTACAAGTTGCCTTCGTCAGTGATCTACATCCTCCTCAGATCTTTCGAGTGTCCTATGTGTCTTATGTAGTGAATTTCTGTACTGAGCATCTCATCTGAGGAAACTGGTGCCCATTTCTCAAAAGGGCTTGCCAAGTATTACCAACATTTGCCACAAACCGAGGCCTGAGGAGACGAATATTTTCGAACATTCTGATCACGAGTGTTCTGCCCCTTCCTTAGAGAGCTCGACGTCCCAGCACCCACGCCAGGGTGAGCCCTCCACAGAGGCTGCAGACTAATGCATCATAGCTGACCAGACCCATTCTTATAGCAGGCTCCATGGGCCCAGATCTTCGAACTTTCTAAAGGACACTGGAATGTAGAAACCTCCTAATTTTTAAATTTTGGAAACTTTGAATGTAAAAAAAGAAGATCAAGCTATGTGTAAACACTGTCCGAGCCAGAGGTGTCCCTCCAGTCGCAGGTTTCTGCCTGTGCCCTTGGGAACTTTGAAGACTGAGGTTCCAGTCACCCTGGGAGATGCCTTCCTGACCAGATCCTGAGGACCGTGATGAAGACATCCAGAAGAAAAGAGCTGCTGGGTGCTTCTGATGTGCTCCACTGTCACCGTCAGTGATGCCTCATTAAGGCAAGAAGCACATGCTCTTACTCACTAGTCCCCCTTACTTGATACTCTCTCGTTATTTGGATATTTCCACCAGTTTCCAAGAATATACAAGTTTGCAGTGTCTGTTGTAAATCACTTATTTGCTCTCTCTGTAGCCATTCAGAGTCATGCCTTTTTCTTTGTGGTCGTTCAAACTCTTAAAAGTTACAAGTTCAGCAGCTTGATGGTTTTCAACAGTATTGTGAGAGCTGTTCTTTTTTCACTTAGTTTCTTTAAAAGATGAATGGAATGAGGGCTTTCCGAGATTTGGGGTAGTCCTCAAACATCTTGATGTAGAACCTAAAAGACAAGAAAAGAATAGATATCACCAAGCAGTGGTCAACAGTTGACATTCGCTGTATCTGAAATCCCTGTTACAAATCAACCTGCAGTTCTCCAGGGCCTGACTCTTCCAGATGGCCATCTGTCCATCTTCTGTCCCTCCTGCATTCTATCTCTTATCAATGTTGAAGCTTCTTGTGTTGAGAAATAAAATGGTAAATTTTATGTAATGTATGCTTTACCATAATAAAAAAAAAATAAGATATGCAGAAAGAAGTACTCAACGGATTCTGTTGAGAAATTCAGTGAACCAGAGACCCCAAAGACCATGGGCAGGGTTAACCTGAGAAAACTGGCAATGTTCCCAGGAAAATATCCCCATGAGCCTGGGAATGCCAAGAAAACTTCACCTTGTATTAGGGGTTGAACTGTGTCCTCCCAAAATAGATGCTGAAGTCATAACCCCTAGTACCTGAGAATGCGACCTTACTTTGGAAACAGGGTCATTGTAGATGTAATTTACTAAGGTAAGAGGCACACAGATGAGACCATGTGAAGACAGAGGCAGAGATGGAGTGATGCAGCTACAAGCCATGGACACCAAGGATTGCCAGCCACCACCAGAAGCTCAGAGGAGGAAAGGAAGGCGTCTTCCCCGGAGCCTTGAGAGAGCACGGCCCTGCCCACAGCTTGGTTTCAGACTCCTGCCCCAGAACTGTAAGGGGGTAAATTTGTGTTGTTTAAGCCACTCAGCTTGTGGTCATCTGTTTCAGCAGCTCTGGAAGACTAATACATCTTGGGAAAAGGCTTTCTCCTTAAGTGACCAGGCTGTCCTCTTAACTCGTTGAAGCTGGTAGCTCTCCAGTTATAATCAAGATGACACACTCTGTTAAAGCACCTTAATTTGAACTGGGGACAAATAGTAATAACATATTACAAGAGGTGGCTGGTGATTTCTGTGCTGTGATTTGAGGGGTCTGGTCAGCTGCCTCCCACAAGGCCCAGGTAGCCCTAGAGAAAGACGCCCTCAGGCCCTCCCTCTGGAGCAGCCTGACATAATAGGATAGGGCCTCAGTTTGGATTTTGTTGTTGCTCCAGCTGGAACCCTCTGGTGGAACTGCTGTCCCTCCACTGACCAAGCCCAGTTGAGTCCTCCCTTCTCAGGGTCCCTCCAACTGCTGTCTGATGCCCTTTCCTCCCCCACACCCTCTCTGCCTCTGGTGGGCAGCAGACCCTGCCTGACGTGGGGAGAACTGTTATACTGACTCTCTAACAGGCTGGGGACCCTCTGCTGCCCTTTGCCACCAAGTCCAGGAGGTAGCAGGAATAGCTCATGAGGAGAGCTGCTGCTTCATTCATTTCTGACAGGTCTCTGTGTAAACTCCACTCTGAGGAGAAGAACCCATGCTTAGTTTAACCTTCAAAATTATGAAATTAATCATTAGCTGGACTACAATCCCTATGCAGGAGCTTACAACACTCCTTTCAGTCCTAGTTCCAAGTCCGTTACCCCTTGGGATAGTCTCTCTCTCTCTCTGTCTCCAGTAATCACTGGCTTTCTCTTTCCTCCACAAAAGGCATTTTATAGAAAAGATCTGAAATTCACATCTAAAGCCTGATAAAAATTAGTATGTTACCATTTTTCTTCCAGTGAGACTTTTAGTTAGCTCTTCTGTACCCCATCCCAGGTGGGGGTGTTGGGAGAGAGGTGAGAGTTAGGAAAACTTCAGAGGAAAGGTCCTAAACCCCTGCATTTCCTGGCATTCCCCAGGTGGTGGGACAGTATTGAACTGGCACCACACAAGTAATTGCTCACCCTACCTTCCCAGGAGGCTAGCAATGACCTGGCTATGATTTATGGAAGGTGGGGATATGGGAAGGAGGGGGTACCAAAATAAGCCCTGGTATTACACAGATCTTGGAAAAATAATCCTGGACTTGCCAGGGCTCTGTGACTACCTGAACTGTTAGCACCAAGTTTAGAATTAAAAATAACAGCCACACCAGGCATGGGGCTAGTGCTTTTCCCCAGTGGTTCTCTATCCTGGCTGTACCTCAGAATTATCTGTGAACCTTTAGAAAGTGGTGTCCATGGAACACACTTTAAGAAATGTGGCATAAGTAACTTGAAGCATGGAAATGGAAGTCACTTCTTGTACCTCTTGACTCTTATGTATAGCCCACTGCCAACCAGAAGCCATTGCCAGGTGAGCCTGCTAGGAGGGCACAGAGGCTGGGTCAACTAACTCATGTGCACCAAGGCACTTCTCGCTGGGAAGCCTTCTTCAGCAAGGTGGCATGGTGCCTTCCCAAGTCACCTCGGGTGCCTATGTCTACACAGCTTTATTTTTGTTTATAGAAAAACATTGTTACTGCTACTGTCATCCAGCTAAATTCCAACTTCGGTGAAAGCCCAAGAAGTCAGAACTTACCAGTCCAGATTATTGTAACCTTACCTTATAACAATAAATGTCTTAGGTTTCTACATCTGACCCAGTGCACTAAAAGCCTTTTTAGAGAAGAAAGCTACGTGCATGCTGCCACTTTGACAAGTTTACCTATGGTGGTGAAAAGCTCGCAGCCCAAGGAAACAAAGAGAGAAAAATGCAAATGCAAGTGCTGGGAGGGACCAAGAGGCCAGTGCATAGCCGCTCCATTCAATGATTTCACCAAGGAAATTGGCTCCCGAAACATAGGTGAACAAGCCACCTGCGTGCAGAAGAATCGACAAGTCAATCAACGAACTGGATCATCGTGACATTAAAACCCCTCTGCTTTATTCCAAAATACATAAAGACAGATAGAACAAAGGTTGGGCTGGAGACTCCCTTCACAGCCATTGAAGTCTGGTGGAATATTCTTGGGTAGGAAATAAAACAAAGCAACAGCAGCCTGTTGCCCTCAGAACATCCTGGAAGCCTGAGGAGCGGCCCCAACTGCTTGATGGGCCCCATCCAGATCTCTACCCACTGCTCTACCCACTGAACCACTGGCTCTGGACAGGACAAGGATGAGATGCAGGAGGCCTGGTTTTTGCTTTGTTCTAGTAACGTTTCCAGGCCACCTCTAACCTGCCCACTCCTTGCCTGGACACCCACATGGCCAGTCAGCATCTTTCATGTTCACAGTCACACCAAGTGAAACAGCACACTACGTGAAAGTGATCAACCTGAACTGACGGGAGAAGTAACGAACTCTCTTTCAGCATTTGCCCTCCCGCCTCTGCAAGGCAGTGGGGTCTGTTCACGTTTATAGCAGGGAGTGGGAGCTGCAAGCCTTTGCCCTCCTGGAGGTCTGCTTCTACTGAGTTTCTAGACAACCATGTGTTTCTGGCTGGCTTCTACGAATTTTAAAGATTTACTTTTATATCCAACCAAGTATTTCTGACCTCAAAAGTATGTCTAGAAATCAGCACATTTCTAATGAGAGCAAATATATCTACATTCACACTTTCTGCCCCACACTAAACTGGGAAAGTTTCACTGAAAGCAAATATTTTCTTTTCATAATTATGTAAAGAATATTTTGTTTTTATAGTCTCTAAGAGCTTTTCTTAGAAAAGCAGTCTTTCAAGAGCTTTCTCTGTTTTTCTTTATTTGTCTAGTTACTGAGTAAAGATTTAAAAAATCAGAATCCTTTAAACTGATCTTTCTTAAAGATAACTTCACATCAGCAGTTCCCAATCTGTGATTCCCCAGACCCCAGGAGGAACCGCCGACCTACTGTAAAGGGTCTATAAATTGTCTACGAGTAAAGCAAGTGGTATATCTCAACATATAGTGTTATTTTTGTTTGAAGTAGATACTGTTAGAATGTTAGCAACATTTAAATCCATTTAAACATGTTACTGAATTCATAGTAGCTTTGTCATTATTTCCTTAATCAGTGGATATTAACCTGCATTAACACCATGTTGTAATTCAGGAAATTTTTTTAATGTAAATAAAATGTATTTACATCGAAAAGGGTAGAAGCCATTGACCTACACAAATACCCAGCCAAAAATATTGAAGGGTTACTTGGACTGGCTCACTCCCACTGCTTATATTTGTCAACTTCACACCCTGGTTCCTTAGGAATGGTTAGGGTTTCAAATATTCTGTGTCTTTAACTCTGAAAATGCACTTGTATTATAAGACCTCCCATCTTAATTTTTGATTAGGTAAATATGGTTCTCCAACCCTTTATGAATGTATAACTGGCAGTAAATACACAAGTACTACCCATGGCTACTCACTAGATCAGCCTAGATCAGTGGGAGGGTACAAATTGTTGTCCACGCATGATTCAGCTTTATTTGCTAACCTAGGAAGGATTGACACTCTGTGTATACATGATGGTTAATTTTTTGTGTCAACTTGACTGGGCCATGGGGTACCTAGATATTTGGTTAAACATTATTTCTGGTGTGTCCGCGATGGTGTTTCTAGATGAGATAAACATGTGAATTAATAGACTGAGCAAAGAAGATTGCTGTCCCCAACATGTGTGGGCCTTGTCCAATCCACTGAAGGCCTGAATAGAACCAAAATATGGAGCAAGGGAGAATTCACTCTCTCTGCCTGATTGTCTTCAAGCTGGGACCTCAGTCTTCTCCTGTACTCAGACTGGAACTTACATCATCTGCTCTCTTGGGTCTCCAACTTTCGGATGGCAGATCATGGGACTTCTCAGCTTCCATAATCATGTGATCCAATTCCTTATATTAAATCTCTTTATGTATTTATGTCTTTATCTATAACATCTATATCCATATCCCATTGGTTTCTCTGGAGAACCTTAATACAGCACATGATAATCTTATTTACTGCAACTAGGTGGCAGCCTATTTCCACCCTTCCCTAAGCCTCACATTTCCCCCACCTTCAGGGTATTGTGATCTTGCACCTTCCTGAGGGCTCTTGGACCTCTCTTGGACTTCCAGGTGCAGATCAGAAATGCAAATGTGTTGTGGGGTAGGATGGGATGTGGAGGAGAAGTCAGGGGCAAATCGGGATATGTTGTGTCATTTGTGACCTCACTGTCCCCTCTCCATTTGTTACTCATAGCACAATCCATGGGGCAGGCTCCCAAGGAAGAGAGAGAATCTAGAGGGTAGGGAGATATTACCTTGTGGAATTTTATAGATGATTTCTCCAGGCTTCCTGAGCTGCCGCAATATATAGTCACTATGAATGTTGATTCCCATTCCCAAGAGAAATAAGAAGACACCTTGGGAAAGAAGAGAGAGAGAAGAAGTTAAAGAGGTATCCTGATTTTGGTGTTTTTCTCATAAGCTAAGCTTTTTTCTAACAATGAAGAAAAGGGCATTTAATTTTAATTCTAAGATTAGTACTAAGATATGGGGAAAAAAGTGGGGGGCAATTAGCCATGGTCCCAAATTTTGGTAGAAGGGCCATGCTGTTTCAAAGACCAAAAGACTGAAATTGCATAGTGTCATGTGATGCAGGAAGGTGACAGAGGAGAGAAAGGGAGGCAACACCGTTGTCCAGCACTTAAATAAAAAAATAAGCAAATAAACAAATAAATGAATGAGTAAATAGCAAGCTTTGGGCTCATTCACAAAATAATCAAACTGTGGTTGGCAAACTCAACATCTAATTCCAAGACCTTCTCTTTTGCCATCCCATGCTATAGAGGCTGGAAGACTGGAAAGTGGTCATGTGACCTACTTCTGCGAAGAGGATGTAAAGGGAAGTCTTCTAGGGGCTTCCTTGGAAATCTTTTGTTTTTCTGATAAAAGGGTAGATGGCACTAGTGTCTCTACTGCCTCCCTCCTCCTTCATTGCCAGGCATGATGCCTTGAGCTGTAGCACTGTCTTCCAATCATGAAGTGACTATCATGAGGACCAGAAAGATGAGCAGAAAGATGGAAAGTTCCTGGGATCTTAATGACATCAGTAAGCAACTAAAAGAATGCAGAAGCCACCTATCTTTGAAATATAAATTCTTAATTATTTAAGCCTCTATGAGTTGGTTTTTTGTGACTTGTTGCTGAGAACATTCTTGATTAATACACCCATTCTCATGAAAGTAATGTGAGCTACATTGGAGAGCTTGGCACCAGCAAACTGGTTTCCACCACTGCCCATTCACACACACACTCTCCTTCCCCATCCACTGGTACACAAAGGGCTCTGGTCTGAGGTGAGGGGAGCCAGGATCAGGGATGCTAGGTCTTACATCCCAATGGGCATCATTACAGCCCAGAAACACTCACTATTCTACATAGGTGCCCAATCTCACCTCTCAAAGAAGTGTATTTGTGCTGAGCAAATACATGAGGCAAAAAGCAAGAACAGTTGAACTAAAAACTTTCAGATCTACTCTCACCTCATAAGTTGTGATATGAAACAATGATTTTTGATCTTGTCAAAAGATCATTGGCCTGGAAGAAAGGGAAACTGAGGAGGGACACCAATGGTGGTGGTCAGGGGTAGAGAGAGGGAGGGGGGATAGCATGCACAGCAGTGGACAAAGCAGGAACCTTGGATAAGATGTCTGTGTGTCCTTGGACAAGTCACTTAACCTCTCTCAGCCTCAGTTTTCTCATCTGTAAAATGTAGATTCTAACAGTACCTATCTCACAAGGAAGGTATGAGACTCAGTCATGTGTTCATTCATTCATTCATTTATTCAACTAACATATATTGAGGGCTTACCATATACTAAACACTGTCCTAAACACCAGGGATACAGTAGTGAGAAAAACAGTCAAGATGTCTGTTCTCACGAAGCTTACATTTTAGTGGAGGAACACAGGATTGAATTAAAATAATTTAATATTACTGCAGAGCAGAAAATCAAAGTAGGATAACGAGATACAGAGTGAATTGGGGTGGGGAGGAGGTGTTTCTAGTTTAGATGAGGTGGATAGCGAACGCTTTTCTGAAGACTGGGCATTTGTCCTGTGATTTGAACAAAGAGAATGCAAAGGTCTGATGGAGAGCAACCTAGTAGAGGAACCGACAGGTGCAAAGGCCCTGAGGCTAGAACAGGTCTAGTGTGTCTGAGAAACAGAAGGAAGGCTGGGGCAGTTGAAGCTTTAAGATAGAATGGAAAGTGAGGACAGACAGGTAGAATAAGCGAAAAATCACATCAAGCATCATAGGCCTTGATGAGGTGTTTGGAGTTTTAAGCGTAAAGGAAGCCATTGGCAGGTGTTAAGCAGGGGAGAAATAAGATCTGATCTCCGGTTTTTATAATGACAAAAGAAGTATATACATTATGTGGAAGATTAAACAATTAGCAAAAATAAGAAAACAAAGACACTTTATTCCTACCACCTAGAAATTACCACCAATAAACACCTTAGTGCATATCCTCCCAGATTTTCATCTTATGTAATATCTAGACCATATTCCAATTTCCTCAGATGTCCCCAAAACCCCTCTTATAGCTGGTTTATGAGAACTAAGGTCAATATAGGAGCACACCTGGCCTCAGGTCATTCTATCCCTTTAGGATCTTTTAATCTAGCCCAGACCCCTGCCTTTTTGTTTGTTTGTTTTTCAGGACATTGACTTCTTGGGAAGACCAGATAGTTGTTCCTCAGAACGCCCCTCCTTGGGAATTTTGGCTTACTTGCTCATGGTGGCATTTTACTTATTTCTCCATTCTCTGTGTTTCCTATAAACTGGCATAAATCAGTTTCCTGTGTGGTTACGTTACCAGTTTAACAAACAGTTAGGTACATTCATTTATTTGTTCTCAATTTTAGGGACTTTTTCCATTTAGATCGTTTTTTAACTAAGTTTTGAAGTTTCATGATTCAAAGGAGAGAATTACATTAAAATAAAGCTCTGTCCATCATCCCATTCTCTTTACCCCTAACCCTACAGGTAACCTGTAAGTCTCACACCATCCTTGTAAGATTTCCTTTTCCAATTTTACACACACATTTTCCTTTTATCCCATAAAAAGTAGCATACTATCTACACTGTTTACGCTTAATTTATTTTTATTTAAGCACATGTTCTGGAGATGTCTCCATAAGAGCACACAAAGATCTTCCTTGTTTTTATTTTATTATGTTTGTTTGTTTTTATGGCTCCAGAATACTCCATTGTGTGCATGCATCAGCATTCATACAGCTAATCCTCTGGTCGTTTGTGTTTTCAAATGTTCCCTCTGACTGAGTGTGGAGAAGGGGCTAGTGTGCCAGCCTGGTGGAGGAGCGGTTAAGTTCCCAAGCTCCATTTCAGCAGCCAAGGCTTCACCGGTGCCGATTCCAGGCGTAGACCTGCTTATCAAGCCATGCTGTGGCAGGCATCCCACATATAAAATAGAGGAAGATGGGCACAGGTGTTAGCTCAGGTCCAATCTTCCTCAGCAAAAAGAGGAGGATTGGCAGCAGATGTTAGGTCAGGGTTAATCTTCCTCAAAAAAAAAAAAAAGAAGATGAAGAAGAAGAGGCTAGTGACAGCCAGGACCAGAGGGAGGAAGTCTAGTTTGAAGGTCACTGTGGCAGTTTGGGCAAGAAGTCGTCATGGTACAGACTAGGATGAAGTTAGTGCTGTTAGGGAGAAGTGAGCCCAACTGGCAGCTGTTTTGGAGCTAGAGGCTGCAGTACTAAGCTGATGGAGAGAATGTGATCTGTGATGTAAAGAGAGGAATTAAGGATAATCCCTAGATTTTTTGTTTGAGCCAAGTTTTCAATTGCATGCCATTCTGAGCGGCATGATGAAATCTCATGCCATCCCACTCCATCCCGCCCGGGATGTGAATCACCCCTTTGTCCAGCATATCTATACTATGTAAGTTTTCAGATCAACCATCGTGGTATCACAGTGCTTGTGTTCAAGTAACCCTTAGTTTACTTAATAATGGCCCCAAAGCACATGAACAGTAATGCTGGCAATTCAGATATGCCAAAGAGAAGCAATAAAGTGCTTCCTTTAAGTCAAAAGGTCAAAGTTCTCGACTTAATAAGGAAAGAAAAGACTCATAGGACGAGGTGGCTAAGATCTACAGTAACCTTTATTACAGTATATTGCAATAATTGTTCTACTTTATTATTATTTTTTGTTTTTAATCTCTTAGTGTGCCTAACTTATAAACTAAACTTTATTATAGGTATGTGTGTATAAGAAAAAACATAATATATATAGACTTCAGTAATATCCAAGACTCCAGGCACCCACTGGAGGTCTTGGAATGTAACCCCCAAGGATGAGGGGGCACTACTGTATAGAGAAAAGACCAGGGGGGAAGGGTGAGAGAAGGGGAGAATGGAATCTTTGGGAGGTTATTGCAATAGGGTGAAAAGAGGTGATGATGATTTAGACTGTGGGAAGGGGTGCTACCTGGGATGTGGGTGAGAAGTGGTCAGGTTTACTTACCCACGCTAAACCGTAGGTCTGTGTACCACTCAGCAGGATATTCAGCACAGTAAACCAGGTAGTAGCCTTGGAGGAGTCCATTTCCCACGCAGAAGACAAAGCCTCTGAAAAGGAATGCAACTGGAAAAGGCCTCCCTCTAGTGAGAAATGAGTAAACAAATGTCCTGGGATATATGGAGAAGAAAGGTCAGGATCCATTAAAAAAATCAAACAATGAGATTAAATAGACAATCGCATTAAACCCATTTTTAAAAACCATTTTCCCTAAAATTTGTGCAATAAAAGAATATTATTATCTGGTTCTAGAGCAATCATTTATACTATTATTTTCCTTGTTTCATTAAAATCCATAGTAGCCACCATTTATTACCTTATTTTATTCTCACAACAGCCTTGAAAGGTAAATTTCATCTCCATCCCAGTACTTAATAAATACAAACCTATGAGCTCAGGATTGGAAATCAGCTTTATTTAAATCTAGATGTGAAATACAGTTTATTCTGGAAGAAATGTAGAGCCTGGCTTACCCCATGAAGCAGTGGAATGGCATTTTGGTAGCAGTCACTCAATCATATGGCTTTCCATAATGTTTCTCTAATATGATTTAATTACTGATATTGTAGCATTCCCTAGAAAGTGGACAGCAGAATCCCTTAAGAGAGATTCCTTTAAATGTTAGAAACTATGAATCTAGAAGAATCTAGGAAGACAGGCTTAAAAAATATAAATAGCCTCAAAATAAAAATTTGCCCAACGGGTAGGCCTGGTTGCATAGTGGTTATGTTCACATGCTCCACTTCAGCAGCCCAGGGTTCATAGGTTGGGATCCCAGCCGAGGACCTACATGCTGCTCATCAAGCCAGTCTGCGGTGGCATCCCACATACAAAATAGAGGAAGATTGGGAGAGATGTTAGCTCAGGGTCAATATTCCTCACACACACACACAAAAGTTTTGCCCAAGATATAAAGCTAAATACTAAACATCAAATTATGTCATCTTTATAATTTTTCTTCTGTTGTGGTGCAATATAACTGTCATACAGGAAAGTTCATGAGCCTATGTGAATAGTTTAATGAATGACTACCAAATAAACACTCATATAGTCACTAGCCAAGTCAAGAAATAGAACATTGTCATCATCCCGGAAGCTTCCCATTGGTCCCTCCCTCTTCAAAGTACCACCATCACCCCAGAGATAACCATTATCACCCCAGAGGTAATCACCATCTTAATTTTTTTAATAATCATTTCCTTTTGCTTTTTTACAATTTTACCACATTTGAATGCATACCTAAAAATATAGTTTATTTTGCCCATTTTTAACTCCATATGAATGGAACCATAATCTATGATTTCTAGAATATTCTTTAGTGTCTTGTTTCTCTCACTTATCATTTTGTTTCTGAGACGGAAGCATGTTGCAATGCACAGCTATGGTTCATTTATTTTCACTGTTGTATATTATTATGTATGAATATACCACATGTATTTATCTATTTTACTTTGATGGGTATTTGGGTTGCTTCCAGAGTGTTCTACTCACTCACGGATTACTGTCCCATTATTTTGGTGATTTTCCATTTTATGTTTAAATCTTTGATACATCTGGGACTTATTTTGTTGTAAGAAGTTACATAAGAATCCAACTTAATTTTTTTCCTAATGTTAGTAAGTTTTAAATATCTCTTTCTCCCTAATATGCATTGTCATTGGTATTATATATTAAATTATCATATATATATCAAATTATCATATATATAGTCTTCTGCACTCTTGATTCTGTTCCATTGGTCTATTAATTGCCAGTACTACACTGTTTTAATAACTGTACTTTTAAAATATGTCTTAATACTGGGTAGTACTAATGTCTTAACACTTATATCATTCCACTTTTTGAGGACTTTCAAATTACTTTTGATTGTGTATTTGTCCATGTCAACTCTAAAACCAACTTGTAGGACATCCCCATCCAAATTTTAGAAATATTCTTAAACTTAAAAATTATTTAAGAGAGTGAAATGGCAGAAGGAGGACCTCCAAGAGTTCTCCCCTTCATGAAAGCAAAGAAAAAGCTGGCTGGCAAAAAAAAATTTCAGAAGCAACTTTTTCAGAACTCTGGATATTAACCAAAGACTTGCAGCAATGTGGGGAACATTTAGGCAAGAAAATGGCTGAATCTCAGTAAGGGCTACAAGCTTACTTTACTGGCTTTAACTTACCCTAGTCCCTTCTGCCACTTTCCAGTGCTGCATGGCCTTGAAAAGTTACAGCCCACATTCAGGACTGGAGGGAGCAAAACAGAGCTTGAGCTTTTTAAAAGCCTCATTCTCAAAGAGAAGTCATTATTTTACCTGTTTGGTTGTTCCCTGGAAGACTCCACTCATAAGGTTTGTCTTTATTCCACTTCACTCAAACTTACCCAGTGCTAAAAGTTTCTGGGGAGGGGAGATGATTTTTACTCTTTTAAAAGCACAGTGGCCTGAGGCAATGGATTACAGGTGGGGCAAACAATAGACTAACCAAAAAGCTGAAAAGGGAAGATGAGGAATGAGAATGCCCATAAGGGCTTCAAAAATCTCAGATATATTTCTGGAAATATAGACAGCCATGCATATGCACAAGGCTATAAAGATGGTCAAAAAAAGACCTGAAAATGTCCTAAGCTCTCACCTCTGATTGACCTTGAGGTATGCACGAGTAGCAAGTGAAGCTAAAGCAGAGTTGTAAACTATGTGAGTGGCTTCTGAAAGAGTTCCCTAATATGCACATAGAAGCCCTTGGCAAAGACCAGGAGACATGCTGATTCCAGGTGTTTAAGGAAATCTCTGTTCAATCATTAATCGATCATCAAGATAACCAAGCAGTATCTTCAGTGACCACAACAACAAAAATAAAGGCTTCATAGAATGGGTTCCAAAAAGTCACTAAGTAAACAAACAACTACTACAACCAACAAACTGCAACCAACCACTACAACCAACAAACACTGGGAGGCAGAAAGAATCTGATTTCCAGAGTTGCCACATAGCATTATTTGAAATGTTTTTAGTTTTCAACAATAAACTATGGGACATGCAAAGAAATAATAAAGTATGATTCATACATAGCAAAAAAAAACGACCAGTAGACACTGTCCCTGAGAAGCCCAGACACTGGACTTGTGAGACAAAAACTTTATTTTAAATATATTCAAAGAGCTAAAGGAAACCATGTCTAAATAACTAAAGGGAAGTATAAGAATGATGTCTCATCAAGTAGAGAATATCAATAAAGAGACAGAAGCTGTAAAAAGGAACCAAATAGAAATCTGGAGTTGCAAAGTGCAACTGAAATGAAAAATTCACTAGAGTGATTCAGCAGTGGACTTCAGCAGGCAAAAGAATGAATTAACAAAATTGAAGATAGGTTGATTAAGATGATCCAGGCTGAGGAACAGAGAAAAAGAAGAATGAAGAAAAATGAACAGAGTTTCAGAGGTCTGTGGGACACAGAAGGAGAAGAGAAAGAGAAAGGGGCAGAAAGAATATTTGAAGAAATAATGTCCAAAAAATTCCAAAATTTGATTAAAAACCTTAATCTACACATCCAAGAAGCTCAATGAACTCCACATAGGCTAGACTTATAGAGATCCACACCTAGATAAATCATGATCAAACTGATGAAAGCCAAAAACAAAGAGAGGATCTTAAAAACAGCAAGAGAGAAGTGACTCATCACATACAAGCTATCCTCAGTAGATTAACAGCTGATCTCTCATCAGAAACCATGGAGGCAAGAAGGCAGTGGAATAATATATTCAGTGTGATAACAGAAAAAGAAATTGTCAAACAATTTTTTTATCTGCAAAACTATCCTTCAAAAGTTAAGGGAAGAAAAAAACAAATATATTGACCTTTATCAAAATTAAGAACTTTTGTGCAACAAAGAACATTATCAAGATAGTGAACAGACAATCTACAGAATGGGAAAAAATATTCGTAAATCCTATCTGATGATGATTTAATATACAGAACACATAAAGAACTCCCACAACTCAACAACAAAAATACAAACAACCCAATTAAAAGGGCAACAAATTTGAACGGACACTACTCCAAAAAAGATAAATGAATATCCAATAAGCACGTGAGAAGATGCATTAGAGATTAGGGAAATGTCAACTAAAACCACAATGATATACCACTTCAAACCAACTAGGAGAGCGATAATAAAAATAACAAGTGTAAAATGGTGTGGCCACTTTGAAAAATAGTCTGGCAGTTCCTCAGAAAGTTAAACATAAAGTAGTCATATGACCCAGCAAATCCACTCATGGGTATCTATTCAAGAGAAATGTAAATGCATGTTCATACTAAAACTTGTACACAAATGTTCATCGCAGCATTATTCATCGTAGCCAAAAAATTTAAATAATCCAATGTCTATCAACTGAAGAACAGATAAATAAAATGTTGTATATCTATACAATGGCATATTATTAAACCATAAAAAAGAATGAGGTAGTGATATATGCTACAACATGAATGAACCTTACAAACAATATCCTACGTGAAAGAAGCCAGTCACAAAAGGCCACATATATCATTCCATTTATATGAAATGTCCAGAACAGACAAATCCTTAGAGACAGAGAGTAGATGATGGTTGCCAGAGAATGAGGGATGGAGGAATGGGGAATGACTGTTACCAGGTACAGGATTTATTTTGGCGGTGATGAAAATATTCAGAAATTAAATAGTCGTGGTGGTTGCACAAGTTTTTGAATATACTAAAAACTATTAAACTGTACACTTTAATATGGTGAATTTTATGGTATATGAATTACATCTCAATTTTTTCAAGTTAATTAAGAGAAATTTCAGACAATGTTGCACAGAGGTTAAATGTAAATTTAAGAGGTTAAATGGTAAATCCCACTTACTAGCTGTGTAACTGCCACTTAACTTCACTGTGCCTGTTTCTTCCTCTGCCTATCTCACAGGGTTCTGTGAGGATTAAGGGAGTCAGTGGAGGTAAAGTGCTTAGAATAGGATAAATAATAAGAGTTCAGTAGATGTGTTGTTTTTGTTGACATTATCTTTATTAGCTTGTTGTTAACATTACCTTTCTATTCAGGTACAGGTGGTTCCTTTCCGCTCATTCATGTATTTTGTGTCCCTCAG